AAAATCCGAGTTTCGAGCCGTGATAAAAAATATTTTATTATTAAAAATCAAAGTCCATGAAACAGTCTTCAAGGAATATGGTTAAACGATAAATAAATAATAAAAAGCATCGATAGTTTCGCGAATTGGCGATATACATATGTATTTCCCGGGCCTAAACTGAATATAGTTTCCCTTCTAAATACGAGTAGTCAGCAATTTTCATTTATGTATATACCAAACGGGATAATTTTCATTTAATATACTTCATATACATACTTCAGCTCTATAACTATGAAATTCTTACTCGTAATATAAATTTCCTTCTCAACTTTAGCCTTAAATGCACCTACAGTACTTTAAAAAAAGTGAAGCCCCATTATCAGCCCTTGCACATCCTTTTTTTTCACTTCACAGGTAAGGCTATGCAGATATGAGCTGCATACTCGTATGTTGCAGGTCCTGTGTTTTGTTTTTATTGTTGTTGGTCACAAAATTTATGCAGGGCCATCGTTGAACACCGAGTGCGCTGATAAATGGAGCTTTAATAAATTAAAAGTAACCCTCAATGTGTTCTTGGCGCCATTCTTTTTTATTGTACTTTGCATTTTTATTATGCCATGTCTCCCAACATATATGTATATACATATGTATGTGTGTGTGTGCAGCCTTCATGCGATAATTTATCTTGTTTGGCGAGATTTTTATTTTCACATTAAATATGCAAGTGCGTGAATAATTCAGGCCGCTGCGCTTTTTATTTAAAAAGCGATAATAACAACTTGTAAAAAACAAAGCATTTAAGCATCCGCATAGTAAATTTTAATGAAAGCGTTTAAATTTTAAACGTGCCAACGGGTGCAGCCAACGTCAATCGACAACTCTTCGCAACATCCACTCACATTCCACGACCCAAGCGGATATATAGTATAGATGCGCCTTCAGACCCAATCCATTCATATTTGATTTTTGATACTTTTTCATTGGGGGGGGGGCTTGTAGTCGTCACATCACTCGTGCTTTTTTCTCATTCTGCTCTTCTGTTTGTTGTTTTGTGCTGTCTTCTGTTTTTTACGGCCAGCATTTCCTGTTGCTGTCCTTCTGCGTTGGCAACATGGATGCGGAGCAGCGTGTGATAAATCGTAGTTTAAACGTTTTTACTTCAGTTTTAGTGACTTTCGTTTAGTTTTTTATTAGATGCGCCATTTAGCGGCACTTTGCCAACCAGATTTGCTCCAGATTCTGGCCACACTAATTGTTTCAGCCGCGATGATGATTGATGATCACCAATACAGGCCCCAGTGACAATTATTATTCAGTACTACAAGAATTTAGCAATTAGAATAGTATTTAAAGAAGTTAGTTTAATTATAGGGTTTGGTATATTTCTATTTATTTCATTCATGAAAACGGATTTGTACAGACGGACATTAATACCAAGCTCATAATTTTAACATTTTATTGATTTATCTTAATTTATATATTTGGTAATCTAAATAGTCTTTCTGCTAAAAAATGTTTGATATAGAAATAGAAAAGCGACCTCCTACCATGATAGTATAAGCACACAATCTAATTAAGCTTAACAAAAATTTCCCTTAAATAATAGAGCGAAATATGTATAAAAAAAAACCACAATCCATAAAAAATGCTTGTTGGATATACGTTTATTATAAAGTAAATATTTTAAAGGCATCACAAAAGAATTAAATCTTTCTATTATACTAACTTTGTGTTGCTCATTAAATTAAATTCAAACTTTAGGGCGCTTATGGATGCAAACATGAATGGAATCGTTTCACAATTTGTTTTCCATTTGCAGAATTTTTGAATTTTTGTATTGTGTTATAATGCAACTTTTTATTTTGACATGGCTTTATCAGTCTCAAGGTCATGTTAAATCCCTTTCACTTCAACTTGCCCGAGATTCACTTCTTAATATTTCACACTGATTTCCAAGAGAAATTAATTACAATGATTAATGATTGTAGAGTTGAGTCTTCGTTTATTTTATTTTTTTTCCTTATGCTTGCTTGCTTACAATTTATGGTGGTAAAGAGTTGATTTTTCAATAAACTTCTTGCAAATAATACACAACGATTTAAAGATAAAGAAAATTGGGAGACAAGCAAGTGGTAGAAACGTGATTCGTTCCGTTCGTTTTCATAAATTTTAGGCATTTGCCAGAGAGAGATATCCAAATTGTTAAGCTTCGTAAGGATTTCAATATTTCAGATATTTTATAGACAGATTAGTTTTGAGCATATCCCCTTTAAAGGTCAGAAGAAACATTGAAAATCCATTAACAGTAATAGAAGCAAACATTTGGTCAAGGCTTTGATGAAGGATGCCTTACAGCTCTACTTTCCATCTACGCGTAGTAGATATACTCGTATCTATAATTAGCTGCCATAAAAAAGTGCGAAAGGGGCCGAAACAAAACTGTCCCACACATTGGGATCAGTGAGGCAACATCCTTTGCCAGCATCACACTTAGAGCCCGATGGACTTAGAGAGCTTCGCCCTGGTCATAACGTTAATGTTTTTTTCACGTTTTTGTTTTTTGTTGCTCTGCCCCGTGGGAGGTGGGGGGTTGGAAGGGAGGGGAATCAGTGGGCCAGTAGCTTGTGCGCTGCAGGAAATCAATGGAAATTATTAACCTGACAAACGGGATAATAAGGGATGATCATAATTTTACATGTGAGTAGCTGAAGCAGCATCTACGAGTATGATGCTACCTACCTAAACGATGGCACGACGGGGTGGCCCTGCTCGGCCCAACCCAGCCCGGTCCTTAACTGACTGACTGACTAACTGAATGACTGGTTGTCTGTCTGGCTGGTCGTGCCGAAATTAATTTCTGATTATCTGTTTGGTTGGCGTTGGTTTTAGATGAGCTCGCTCGCAGGCAGGCAGGCGGGCAGGCACACAAAAAAAGGAGAGAAGGAAAAAACAATGCACATATGTTGCCGCTGATGACGTCAGGCGAGCACTCGTCCTTGACGTTGCGGCAAGTGGCAGCATTTTCCAGCACGAGGTGGTTGAATTTGAAATTATTGCCATGGTCGTGCCACTCGAAATTGCATTGTTGTTGTTGCTGTTGTTGTAGTTATTATTGCTTTTGCGTGTATCTATTCTTAACATACATAAATTTTTATAACTTGCCTGCTTGGACGCTGATAGTGATGAATGAGTCGGTGGCTCATCCCTCACCCCTCACCCCGCAGTCCATCGCCCATTGCCGACTCCTGTCGCATATGCCGTGTTTTTCACAACTAATTCGTCGGATGAGTGTTGGATTACATACTATACAGCAGCATGGACCGGCTTCCCCTGTTTTTGGTTTAATCATTTTTAAATTAGAGAACTATGCGCCTTTTCCTGCGCCTCGTTAGAGTTGCCAATGCCGCCTCCCCCTCCCCCTCCCCCTCACCCTCCAGAGCGTGTGCCGCACAAGAGGGTTATTCATGCTGCAGTGGTTGGGTCGTTTGTTTATCTATTTGTTTTTGTTTTCGAGGGCTGGATGAGCAACCAGCAACCTAAAATTGCAGCAGATTGTCTTCTGTGCACTTGCGGTTTCGTAGCCGGCTCGTCATTGCCTGCTCAAGTGGCATTGTGAGTGCGGCACTTGCGGCAACAAGCCTGCCCGCACATGGCACGATTTTGTCCTGACACTAAAATGTTTTCCTTGCCCTCCCCCGCCACGATATTTACTGGACAAACAAACAATTCCGAACAGTTTTTTACTACACATGAGAAAATAGCCCAAGCGTATGCAAACACAAATACTCCTGCTCGTATCAGTTCCGCCCTCTCTGCCCCATTATTATTGGGTCAGTTCGCTGTGTCAATATTTGCGCCTGCCCCCATATGTTGCGACCACCTTTCCGTGTTGTTGTTAGTCTGTAATTAGCATTTATGTATTTGCATTTGTCCTGCGAGAGCTCTCACTCTCATTTACACTATCGATGAGGTATTTTTTGCTACGTAATTGAATAGAGGGCTTAACTTAAACGAATTTTTGGAATTGCCTATAAAATTTTACTAGTTTAAGAACGAGTATAAAAAAACATGAGGAAACATTCTTGAAGTAAAGGAAAGGAGGAAAGCGAAATATATTGGAAATACAGTTTTTAAGAATTAGTATTAATGCGACAAATCGAGAAAATTTATGTCGTCTTCGGGGAATTGACCAACGTTTAAGAGTTTCAAGTTATTTGTGTTGTAGATAAGTCTCTGGGTTGTCATCTCTTTGCAACATCCTTGTTAGAATTGTGTTGTAAAAAATCCCTAACCTGATCTTTAAGTTATTCTCAATGTTTTGATTTCAGAGGAAACATAAAAGTCATGCCTTATATGCATCAACAACAGTTCAGGGGCTTCTTAAAAAATGGGAGCTTCTTGTTTTTGATTTTCGATGTCACTTCAATAAGGACCGAAGTGCATTTCGCTCATCACTGACTGGAGAATTAGGTTATTACCTTCAATAAAAAACAAAATCCTTAGACAATGTTGTGTCTTTAGACATCATTTAATTGAGGCATCAACAAGGCTGCTTATCATTCTTCTGTGACAAAAAGGCGTCCTGGAAAGTTGACAGCCTCTTTGGCACCATTATTTGTGATATTGATTGTAAAGACTAGCACGTCATGTGGTTAGTTCTAAGCTCTAAAGTTACAAAAAGGCGTGAGTAGCAATAGGTTATTTAAGTATCTGTATCTGTAAATCGGAAATAGGTACATCAGGTTGGCCTGGAATATAAGAGTATATGTACTTGTTGGAAATGGTTATTTACATATGTAGGGGCTTTAGTTTAATAAAAGTACTCCTTTGAGCATTGTAGGATACATGAATATTGCATAGCTAGAACTTTAGCTCGCTGCTTCAAATTATGCGAGTATCCTATGCAGCCTTGGAACTTGAGTATAACATATAGTTTATAAGTTAACTAATATCTTCCTGAACTTTAAGAATATATTAACTATTCGACAACTCATTCTTCCTTTATTCTTACCTTACAGGCTATTATTTACGAAGGCCAGGATAAAAACCCAGAAATGTGCCGTGTTCTATTAACGCACGAAGTGATGTGCAGGTGAGTCTCACAATCAGTCTATTAAGTACTAATATTTGTTTTGTATGCATGTATGTGTATGTGTGTGTGTGTGTGTGTGTGTTTGTGTGGCCAGCTCTACCGCAAATTCCGCCAATAATCTGCAAATAATTTGGCCGCATTTGAAAATAATACAAAGCTACCCACATTGACTTACAATGTAATCCACACCTTTGATTCCGAAATCTCTGGAGTCCTTTGTTCCCTGGAGCTTTCTCTAAGCATTTTCATTTTACTTGCGATTTATTTGCGAGAGCTTTTTCAGCCGTTGTCTGTGCAAGAATCAGAAGAACACGAAGTCGTACGCTTTCAGGCACTCAAATGATGAGCTGGCCCCCCACTCCCCATTTCCACTTCTTTGTAGTACGTATGCCGGAAAAGATGTTGCGCTCATTTGTTTTTAAGCGTTTTCGCAGTGTTGTTTTTTTTTTTGAAGTTCTTTTACTTTTCGGCCCATTCAGGTATTTTCAGTTTTGTAGGCACTTTGGCTTTGTCGCTGCTTTAATTTTGTTGATTTTTAAGCTGGCACGACCATCGCTCGTCCTCTGCTTTATTTTCACGCTCAGACGCACGCCAGTTGAAACGTATAAATGGCAGCCACTCGACCGGCCCCCGCACACCACTACCAATACAGTACTAGTGTTTGTGTGTGTGTGTGTGTGTGTGTGTGTGTATCTCCAGCTATGTAGCATATCTCTGTGGGCAGAGAATTTGGGCAGCCGAGTGTGCAGCATTCACCCTTCTAGCGGCCACTAAGCCTGACAGTTGAAGGTTGCGTGCGGACTAGCCGAGAAATAAAAATGGCAAAACGGGCGCAGGAAAAACAAAACACAAAGAAAGAAAGACCAGAAACAAAAAAATTTACGCAGCATCACCCCCGCAGCAGTAAAGGCAGCAGCAGAAGCGACAGTGGCTGTGGAAGGGGCAGGGGCAGTGGCAGAAGCCGAGGCAGCAGCCTGCAGCGTGCGTTGTTGGCCGGCCATCTTTTATTATTTCGGATTGGCACCCAGTTTTTATGTTTGCGTAGAATTATCAAAATAAGGGGACAGGCATCGCACCGGGGGTGGCTTTTGGTCGCGCTCCCAAGCTCGCCAGCAGCGAGAAATCAACAGCTCAACGAACAGTGCCGTGTAACTGTAACGCAAACCAAACACACGCACACACACACACACACACACCCACACACACACACCCACACACAGAGACGTATACAGAATGGCTCTAACAGTGGCAATGGCGTCTTCTTTATCGTTTGGCATTTCGCCCATTTTATTCATCCATGTTTATGCGAGAGCCACCCACTCCCCCATTTGTCTGCCACCCCCAGCGACCAACGACCAAAAAAAATTTTACGCAGCCGTTGAACTTACTCTTCTCTGTGTTTGTGTGAGTGTGTTTGTGTCTGAAGAATAGAATAAATGCATAGCACAAAATTGGTGAGAATTGAGTGTTCTTCGTATGTATGTATGTATTACTGGTGGATTACTTGGAAGGATTGTTGGCAGAGCTTAAATAAATACATCAGCAAGATTTGAAGTCGTACAAAGTATCAGCTTGTCATACAATATGTTTGTAAGCAGTTAATAGCATCAGCTCATTTTCCATTGATTTCTGAGGGGCAAATGATTCTGTTCGACGGGTCATAAAGGTTTATCAATAAGCAGAGAAATGCACATCATTCCCAATAAATAAAATATGGTATTGCCAATTATTAACGTACCTTTTCCAATGTTTATCTAAAACTGATGCTCCAACTTTTTGAAAATTATTTTAACCAATTTTAAAGGTTTTGGTTTTGTTAAAAATAGTTTTAAAAAATTCGCACTACTCTACAGAGCACTATTTTGGAATATACAAATTCTTAAAATGTAATTTAAAAGACCTTATTTATTTACTATTTGTTAACTGAGTGAACAAGACATGGCTCTTCCTAAAAGGGTATCATTTATCAGCTGGTCTGTTTTATATATGTTTTATATTTGTGTTACACAAGTATATTTGTTTGTCGTAGTAACGCTCCCAATAATTAAATATTGTTCTTAATATTAACAATGTAGTTTTAAACAATGCTAACTAAACTCAACAGAGCACTATTTTACTTCTTAAAATGTAATTTAAAAGACCTTATTTATTTACTATTTGTTAACTGAGTAAACCGGACATGCTTATTCCTAAAAGGGTATCATTTATCAGCTGGTCTGTTTTAAGGTGGAGTTGTTTTTCTTTATATTCAAACTATATATCTATATATTTGTTTGTCGTAGTAACGCTCCCAATAATTAAATATTATTCTTAATATTAACAATGTAGTTTTAAACAATGCTAACTAAACTCAACAGAGCACTATTTTACTTCTTAAAATGTAATTTAAAAGACCTTATTTATTTACTATTTGTTAACTGAGTAAACCGGACATGCTTATTCCTAAAAGGGTATCATTTATCAGCTGGTCTGTTTTAAGGTGGAGTTGTTTTTCTTTATATTCAAACTATATACATAGTTTGTGTCGCTTAAATACTTTATACACCGATCGAAAGTTTTAGAAAAAGTGCCCGCCGAAGAGAGTGTCCAGATAAAAGAGGTGTTCATTAATGGAGCTTTCACTGTATATAATTATTTGCATTAGTAACGCTGTCAATTATTAAATAATGGTTTTTATTTTACCAATGATTTGCTTTACAATTGCTTTATTGCGCATACGCCACAGTGGCCAAGCACATTAAACCTGCAGCTAATTTTCTGAAACACGCCTCTTATTCAAAATAAATACTTTAAAAGGGTTAGTTAGGTTTTTCTTGTATGGCAGCAGTAAAAACCTAGAGATATTACTTTACATAAGTTTGTACTTGTATTAAAGCTTGTGAGAGTTCTAATATGCGTCTGTTTATTTACTTGCAGCCGCTGCTGTGATAAGAAGAGCTGTGGTAACCGCAACGAGACGCCATCGGACCCCGTCATTATTGATCGGTAAGTAGCCAAACAATCTATAGCTATATAGTACGTGTATGTACATATCCTTGTTGCGTGTATCTGGCAACAGCACTAGCTCCAGCTCCGAACTGCCACTGCCAGTACAAAAGATGACATTTTAAGCTGCTTTTCATCATCGTCGCTTGTCGTTCGCTGCCGCCGCTTGCCGCTTGCCGCTTTCCACTTGCCTTTTTATTTTGCCTGCCTGTTTGCGGCTTGTATGCGTATCGTTGATTTATTGGCATTATTATCAACTGCAATATAAAACATGATGCGGCAGACAGCCAGACGGGCAGGCGAAGCAGTAGAGGACTCTCGGCTGCCTATCCTGCGTTGGCATGAGCAGCGCAGTTTCAGTTCAGAATAAAACTCATCAAAATGGCAACAGCAAATTCTATTTTCATAAATTGTAAATTGAGACGAGTGCAACTCAAAAATATAATCGTGTTGGTGGCAGTGGCGGGGCAATCCGACACCCCCCGCGAGCGTGTCACGTGTCAGGCGAATTATGTTAATTGCACGCACATCCTTGTGGTTACCACCCACAGGATGCTTGCCAGCAAGCAGAGCAGCAGCTTACATTTTAGTGACATCTCCATCTCTGGTCGTGCGGTGCGTCGCCCTCGTGCCGTGCCTAATTGGCTACGGAAATATTATTTGAAAAGCAAATTGTTGACATAAATTTAAGTGGCCGCCATTCTATGGAAGCAGGTCAGCCCCTACTGCCTTTTGGCGGAATTGGTGGATTTATCGAATCGAATGTTTTTAAAAGAAATCACATGATTTAGGCAATTGTTTTGGTTACCTTAATTAGATATTTTAAATAATCTATTTGGCAATTGGCTCTTGGCTCTGATAGTATTCAGGAACGAACTCAACAACTAAATCAGTTTTCATTCACATTCACAAAGAAATGAATCTGACTTATTTACAATAATATGATCTGATTGGAAATAAATATTAAATATTCTAAGTGGCCTATAAAGTGGTATAAATTTACCTTTTAATTTACATTTTAAGTTAATGAAATATGTTGTTCAACTTTGTGCAGTTTGAAAGCATACATTAACAGACCTGATAAAGTTCAAAAGGGCAACTTTATTGCAATGATTTTAAATAACAGATATGAGGACACATTAGTTCAATCAATTGTTGTTGTTAAAAGTTTAAAATCAATCTAAAGTATGGAATATTTTTCATTTTATTTTTTATTCTTTTTTTTCTTATTTTAACTCCGGGAATTTATAATTAGGAGAAATTATTGGTTTTTAAGAATCAACATCTCATAGAAAATAAAAGAAAAAGAACATAAAAGAACTTCCTGCACTTTCTCTTTATTAAAGTTTCGAAAGTTCTTTTCATATTTAGAGAATATTTACTTCCAAATCAATTGACAAATTAGAACTTTACAATTTCTATAAACTGTTGTTTAAGTTTATTTTAAGCTTTTATATGTCTTCGATTTTTAAAATCGTTCTATTAAATTGAATCACAGTTCCAGTCAGGCCCAACAATTTAGAGATTCTTCAGCCTTCCAAAATTGTCAGTCGTGCTAACAATTCCCTTAAGATCTGTCCAATTCAGGAGCACGTTCTGTAATTGATTCGGTTCTATTAACGCTCCCTAGACTCTGGCCATGGCCTGGCCATGCTAATCAGTGTGATTCTGTGTAATTGAGAGTAAAACGGCTATGGTGGTCCGGCCAAGTGCCCAACGGGTGTTCAAAGGTATTTACCTATATCCACATTTGTGCTACTCGATGGTGGCATTCTACGAAACCAGATTCAGCTGCGGTTGAGCACGGGATCGGACAAACCATCAGGCAGTGGTGGCCACAAGCGCAGAGAGACTTAATGATTCTATTATTACAACACTGGGCACTGTTCAGTTCATTTATGCGCTGCTGATCGATGCAATCAGGCCATAATTGGTGTCATAATTAAATTTAATTGATTGCCTGTAGCTAGTATTGCTGTTGTTGGCATTGTTGTTGTTGTTGTCGTTGTTGTTGTAGCCATTAGCAACTCAAGTCGATTGCGCAGTCTTCTGCTCCAAGCACTTCAAAGGCTCGATTTGCAAATTAGGAAATAGAAACAACCGAACTGCACAGCACAGCGCAGAAAACCGAACGACTCGCTTCGATTCGCTTCCAATCGACTCGATTCGCTCAACTGAAGGCGATTGAATGCGCTGCCGATCGGCGAGATCAGAGCTTTCGCATTTATGATCTTGTTAAAATTGCTCAGTGTTTGCTGCTGTTGTACGTGCTCCGGAACAGTGAATGCCAGCAACTGCGAACAGTTCGAACAACAGTTAAGGCTGTGTTGGTCGCGTCTCTCCACGTGCGCATGCGCGACACTTTTCGCCTCTTCACAGCGATATTTACGATTATTAATTCATTTTTCGCCTATTTATTGTGTTATGCGATTGCAATTGCCAACTGCGAAGGTGCTTCTTGGGCTGCCTTGCTGGCTGACTGCCTGACTGGCCGAACAGTTGACTGACTGGACCTGCAACTGGACGAGTGCCTTGTTAGCCAAGCCAAGCGAAGCCAGCCAGCCAGTCAGTCAGCTCTGACCAAATTGGTTAATCCCGTCAACGACATTCGCCACATTCCCGAGCCGTTGTTGTTGTGTTCGCCAACACCAGCTCAGCAACAGGCTCAGACATGTCGTATTTGTCAACTGGGCTGTAACTTTTGTCGGCATGCCCGTGTGTGCCAACCAACGTGCATATCAATCACGAGCTGCAATGCCGACGCACGCTAGTGCGGATCAGCGGGATCCATTGCTGGATAAAGAGTGCGCATATGAGTTTGCCGCGTGATTTACACAAATGCTCGTCTTGCTCGCATCGTCCACAAGGCGATCCGAATGCACAGAACCGATCCGATCCGATCCGAGCTCCAATCAGCCGCCGCGCACACGCATGCGCATTCGCATTCACATTGTCGGCATTTATCAGTCAGCAGGCAGTCGGGCAGAGATGCATGCATTGTTATGCCAGTAGATCATGCCGCCGGCTATGCCTCTGGCTCGGGATAATCTATGTGTTCGCAACTAAATTTTCAATTCCTACAACCTAAAGCGCTAACTTAGTTGGGGGTCTGCCGCATTTCGCCACTCACAGACGGCAACGGCAGGTAGTCAGTCGCCTGAAACTTGTCACCGAGCGCGCAACAATTGGAACTGATTGAAAATTCCGACTTCTCCAAACCTACGTACATACAAACAAACAAACAAACCCACTTGAATTTCATTTCATCAAAGTGGCAGCAACAACCACCACCACCAACACAGAATTGAAGCTTAACCCTAAAACTGATACATATGACAACAGCAGAACACTCGGCGAAAAATTCGATTTTCAATTCTAAATCAATATATTCAAGTAGGAAGCTTCTCACAAAAAAACAAAAAAAAAAATACCAAGATCTAAAATGAAAAACAATCACTAAATGGTGTGAAACCATTTTTTAGATAATAGACAAATCGCTTAAGCCAAAATTTTGACTATTTTAGATAACAAATATTGAATTTGAAATTGTAGTGATTATAAATTTTAAGTTCTTAGCAAAAATTTTAATTTGATTAACCAAAGTATCAACAGCAAGCACATATAGTAATCAATTGAAAATAATTATGGGTAAAGTACTAATTATATTATACATATAGGGTACATATAGGGTATTTAAAAAGCTAACCCAGAAAAAAGCTAAAAGTAGAAATATTTAGCTTAAAACGTATCATGTTTTGAGAGAGAGAGAGAACTTTATTTGCTTGTCATTATAAGCCGGATATTAAAGTGTATTAATATTAAAAAAGTGTAGCCAGAAAATAGCTAGAAGTATAACTATTTAGCTGAAAACGAATCATGTTTTGAGAGAGAGAGAGAGAGAGAGAAAACTTTATTTGCTTGTAATTATAAGCAGGATATTAAAGTGTATTAATATTAAAAAAGTGTAGCCAGAAAATAGCTAGAAGTATAACTATTTGGCTTAAAACGAATCATGTTTTGAGAGAGAGAGAGAGAGAGAGAGAGAGACAGAACTTTACTTGCTTGTCATCATAAGCAGGATATTAAAGTGTATTAATATTAAAAAAGTGTAGCCAGAAAATAGCTAGAAGTATAACTATTTGGCTTAAAACGAATCATGTTTTGAGAGAGAGAGAGAGAGAGAGACAGAACTTTACTTGCTTGTCATCATAAGCAGGATATTAAAGTGTATTAATATTAAAAAAGTGTAGCCAGAAAATAGCTAGAAGTATAACTATTTGGCTTAAAACGAATCATGTTTTGAGAGAGAGAGAAAGAGAGAGAGAGAGAGAGACAGAACTTTACTTGCTTGTCATTATAAGCAGGATATTAAAGTGTATTAATATTAAAAAAGTGTGGCCAGAAAATAGCTAGAAGTAGAAATATTTGGCTAAAAACGTATCATGTTTGAGAGAAAATCGGAGACATAACCTTATTTGCTTATTATTATAAGCAGGATATTAAAGTGTTCCTTTTAACAGCTGGCTTTATGTTGAGATATAAACCTCATCTTATACCTAAAGCTCTTTTTCATTATTGTGGGGCTTTACTCTTTTTCGAATTTCGTTCGATTCTCTACGTCAGTTTTTTCTCTCAGTGCTGTTAAAGACGATCGCCTGCGTTGAATGACGAATGTTTCTACGACGGCTGAACGTGTGCCAGTGTGGTGGAGTTGCAAGAGTGGCGGCAACAGGAGCAACAAAATCGGCAAGAACAACAGTAGCACCGGCTGGCACAACGGAGGCAACAACGAGGCTGCACATGTTTTATTGATGAATTTCTGTTATTCATGCAACGATCGAGCGGAAGGACGGGCGGACGGGCGGGTGGTCGGTCAGACACACAGAGAGGGCTGCCGATGCCAAAATCGTGTACACAATGCGGGCAAATCTGGTTGCACAGTGGAACAAAGTGCAGCAGATGAAATGCGGTGGCAAGTGTGCGTGCGACTGTCGCACTGG